AAAGAGTGGGTTTTGTAATTAAGCTTAAATTTGAATACCAATTTAGCTACTTGTGACCTTTAGCTCTGTGACCTTGGGCAAGTGATTTTACCTCTCTAAACTTTAATGTTCTTTTATAAAAATGTATATAATCTCTTAAATTTAGTGAGCTAATGTGTATGAAATGCCTAGTATAGTGTCTGGCTTAATAAATTTTTTTTCCTTTAGTATCAGCTAAATTGTTTTAACTATAATTTAAAGCATATAAAAGCTCTCAGATTATTGATTATATTTATACTTATAAAAAGTCCATAGGTACATATATACCTATGGTATATATTAGTATGAAAATCAACTACAATTTGAGGCAAGGAATTTTTAGAAGTGTTTCTTAGTGAAGTAGATTTGTTGTTTCTATTTGTATTGTTCAATTTGTGACCATGTTGTGGAGTTATATTTGTCTGTACAAAAACTCATCCATTTTCTGGGCAGCAAACCAGAGTGTTATAATCATAGAGATTATCAGGCAGGAGAAAGATAAGAAAAAAAAAACAAGAGTTAATTATTTAAGCAAATATTTTTAACAAGTTGATGGAAATGCAGGCAACAATCTAGTATGTATATTTACATGTTTATGCCAAAATACTTTCATTAATTTTTCATTTTGGTTGAGAGGATACTCAGTTATTTAAAGTAATACCACCCTTTATTGATTATATATAAATTGTAAAATGTATAAGTATCAAGTATGTCATGTTCTCATATCTTTGATACAAGGTATCATAAGAAAGTTGTTTGCTTGTGTGATGAAAGGATTTAATCTATGTACCCTATTTCTGTTTTCAACCTTTTATTATGGACATTTTAAAGAATACACAGAAGTGGAGAGAATAAAATGATGAACACATCATTTTATTTATTTATGGGTTTATGGGTTTATTTATTTATTTATGGGTTTGGTAGTACCCATCACCAAACTTTAATAGCTATCAAAGTATGTCTACTCTTGTTTTTTTAATCCTCTCTCCCCCCCCCCAAGCTGTATTATTTTAAAGCAAATACCAGACATCATAATCATTTCATGTATAAATACTTTTGTATTATAGTGATATTTTTTATATTACTTTTTAAAATACTGTATTCCAGGAAATACAAAAAATTCTAATTTATTTCAGCAAGATATTTTACAGCAGGAGGCTACTGCTCCTAGTGTATAAGAGCAATCTGTGCTAAGTTTGTAGGTTATGTGGTCAGACTTGGGTTCAAATCCTTGTTTGACGTTTGTGTGTGACCTCAGCTTAGTCATTTAATCTTTCTGTGCTTCAATTTTCTCTTTTTTAAATGGGGGCAGTAATATCTTCATCAGAGGTGTTGTTAAGATTATTTGAGGCAAATTCGTGTAAAGCATTTAACCTGGTGTATAGTAAGCTCTATAAATGTTAGCTAAATTTGAAAAATTAAATTTAAAATTTTAAAAATTTAAACAGCCATCTATATAGTTCCTACTATGTGCCAGGAACTTTACAAATATGAACTCACTGAATTCTCATAACAGCTGTTTGAGATTGTTACTACTACCCCATTTCACAGATGAGGAAGCTAAGGAGGCATAGGGAGTTTCAGTAACTTACCTAGAGTCACACAGCTGGTAAGTTGTAGAGCCAAGATTCCAGCTCAGGTAGTCTCACTTCAGAATCTGTTATCTTAAGTACTATACTGTACTGACTCCCTACGATATATAATATGAAGTATTGTCTAGTAATATTTATGTATGTATGCTTTACATAAATAGTCTAGGTTTCTTTTTTCCTTTTTTTTAACAAAGTATTTTTTAACGGTTTAATCCCTGTCTCCGTAAGCCCCCCCCCGCCCCCACGTTGGGTCTTCGTTGCTGCGCGCAGGCTTTCTCTGGTTGTGGAAAGTGGGGGCTACACTTCATTGTGGTGCGCGGGCTTCTCATTGTGGTGGCTTCTCTTGTTGTGGAGCACGAGCTTTAGGCACGCAGGCTCAGCAGTTGTGGCACACAGGCTTAGTTGTTCCGTGGCATGTGGGATCTTCCCCGACCAGGGATCGAACCCACGTCCCCTGCATTGGCAGGCAGATTCTTAACTACTGTGCCACCAGGGAAGTGCAGTAGTCTAGATTTCTAGATAATAACTAAAAAACTCAGCCCAGTGTGAAGGGAATTTAATTATCATCATACAATTTGTTAAATTTTTTAGAGAACATAGGTTTTACAAATTAAAAGTTTGTTTTTTTTTTTTTTTTTAAGGAAGACAAGGTTGGAAAACCTACAGTTGGGTATTTAGCTTCAAAAATAGATTTAAAATCTCTTTACTATTCAGTTCGCATTTTTATCAATGCTGGTCCTTCTACTCCCTCTCCCCCTTTTCAAGAATAGGAAGTTAGGGCTTCCCTGGTGGTGCAGTGGTTGGGAGTCCGCCTGCCGGTGCAGGGGGCGCAGGTTCGTGCCCCGGTCCGGGGGGGATCCCGCATGCTGCGGAGCGGCTGGGCCCGTGAGTCGTGGCCTGCTGGGCCTGCGCGTCCAGAGCCTGTGCTCCGCAATGGGAGAGGCCGCAGCAGTGAGAGGCCCGCATACCGCACACACACACAAAAAAAGAATAGGAAATTAGTTTCTTTTTTTTTTTTACTTGAGATATAGTTGACATATTACATTATGTTAGTTTCAAATTCACAACAATTATTTGATACTTATATATATTGGGAAGTGATCATCATAATAAGTCTAGTTAACATCTGCAGATGTTAACATTAGCAGAACTGCATAGTTCTGCTAATACCGTTTTATTTAATTTGGTGATTGCCTGACAATGGGAAAAGGGTCTAGCTATTTAATATAATGATATGTAGCCATTCAAATAATGTTTTTGGTGACCCCATAATTACATGTGAAACTCCTAATAAAATAAGTAAATAAAAGATATTGTTGCAATTATATTAAAAATAGCTTGCATAGAAAAAAATCCTGGACAAAAGTATATACTACAGATTTTTACTTTTTGATTCTATTTTTGCATTTTCCGTACCTTCTTTAAAGAAGGTAGTTTGTATATATTTTTTAAAAAATAAAATGGTTTACACTTACAGTGTTCAGACCTTAAGGCTAGGGTTCTTCTTTGGAGGGCCTGGAAAAAATGTTCAACTACAGGAAAAAAAAAAGGTGCCATTTCTTACACATTCTGTATTAAAAAATGTTGATTTTGGCATATATAGTTTGCTATATAAAAACTGAGATTAAAAATTAAACTAAATAAGCAAATAATAAGAGGTCATTCTAGAAGTACCTATAGAGATGTAAGATAAGATGGTAGAAAAATCAGATAAAACAGGAAAAATAATATAAGCAAATTGGAAGAAGTAAAGTAATAAAAACAATGGATTAAAATTTTTAAATGCTTTTAAAAGTGAGTTAAGAAATTACATATGGATCAAATTAAAAGAAAATATGAAATATTACATTGAGTTAGGGGAAAATAACCTTTTTTTTAACTACTTTCAATCTGTTTGATATTGTACCATGCATAATTTTACTTTATAGTTCAAAAATGAAAATCCTAAAAATAGTAACAGTTTTTTTACTGATTTTATGGAATATTTCTGAATTGACATTAAGCCTGATTTATTTCTTTCCTAGGGCCTGTGTTCGTAAGGTAGTTAGGCCATTAACTCTTTTTTTTCCTCATAAATTTATTTTATTTATTTATTTATTTTTGGCTGCGTTGGGTCTTCGTTGCTGCACTTGGGCTTTCTCTAGTTGTGGCGAGTGGGGGCCACTCTTCATCATGGTGCGCGGGCCTCTCACTGTTGCAGCCTCTCTTGTTGTAGAGCACAGGCTCCAGACACTCAGGCACAGTAGTTGTGGCTCACAGGCCCAGTTGCTCCGCGGCATGTGGGATCTTCCCAGACCAGGGCTCGAACCCGTGTCCCCTGCATTGGCAGGCAGATTCTCAACCACTGCGCCACCAGGGAAGCCCCAGGCCATTAACTCTTACATGATGAAATGTATGAA